AAACACAGAACGAGTATTGTTATCAAGGAACCATATTAAACAATAAATATATGCAGACAAGTGTTTTAGTATGACAATTGGAAACAGGAAGGACTGCGTGAAGAAAAACAGGTGATCACTGTACATGCTAACTAGGTTAGAATAGATCAGTGCCTTCAATTAGTTTCATAAAGTTCTCTAATGTTGGCTGCTGTGTAATGACTGGATTCAGTGTGTTCTATTCTCGAATTACGCGCGGGAAGAACGAATAGGAAAAAATATTATTACTAAATGAGTATTCTTCGAGTTCCCATGCATGGCTTCGCCTTGTCGGTCTGGTATCTCGGAAGCTCAGGTAAAGATCTAAGTTTATGCGGAATGATTTGTGTAAAAGTAGATAAAGAAATTTGAGCCGGGAAACCTTTGCACGACTGTCAAGGGTGGCTAGACCAGCACGATGTAGTAGAGCAGTAGGTGAGTCGTTGCGCCCGTATCTGCTGAAGATAAAGCGCACTGCTTTCCGCTGAACCCTTTCTAGTGTAGCGATACTACTCACAGTGTGAGGGAACCACACAATATTAGCATATTCATTACAATTGCATTCCTGTTACGCTTAGTCATTACGTATCTTTCGTGCTCCCTTACGTACTCAGCCCCGTTTATCCATACGCGCAAATATTTGTATTTATGCACTATTTCTAGTGTGACTTCCTGTATCTTATGCTCACTGCCTTCATTATCAATAAAAAATATGATTGCCAATTTTTCCCTACTGACCATTACGGCAGATGTCCCTGCAGATCTCCCTTGTTGTCGACCATTATGATCTGCATACATCAATGCTGGCAGTGCCCTTTCCCTGTGTGCCCTCCAGACGGCGCAGCGTCTACACGCCTCGCACTGGCGCGTTGTAAAGCGGAAATGACCACACGTACCCGTTGTAGTGCGTGATGTGGCGCCGCGCCTACGAAGAGTGCAACTTCGCTTAGCCACGCGCTGCGACGGTACGTGTGGTCCGGTACACTGCGACGCGGTAAAACACGTGACCTCATTGACACATCGCTATTGGCTGGGGCCATGTAAGGTAGCTTAATCCTTGAGCATTTACAAAGAAGCTGGCGAAGTTCTAGTGCAATTAACCAAGCACAGAATTCACAACTGAATATTTTTACAAACCTTCAAGCACCCTGAGAGTCGGGCCGCACTCTCGTTAGCCGTGACGTAACAAGCAGCTGCTGGCTGTGCGAGCGTCTGCGTGAATGACTGCACGTGAAAGCGCGTGAAAGCTGCGCGTGAAACCTTCCTTCTTCGGCTCAACGCCGAAATCGAGTGATTTGCGGCGGCTGAAACTGTGGTACAGAAGCAACGCTCTTTGCGTCCCGTGACGTAACGGGCGCCATGAAAAAATGGCGGTCGCCGGCGGCTTCTAGGGCCTCTTTTGCACTAAAATATTAAATTGCGACCCACTTTTCATATCTGCAAAGACGACCCTCCACTTGTAGTCTTCGCTGAAAGGCACAGATTGTTGGGTGACCGTGCTATGGTACATATCACAAGACGGGATTTGTACACGCCGCCCGCGCTGCTTGCACACAGCCCGGTCGCACACCGACATTTGAGACGTACTGGCCCCACGCGTGATCCGCTTTCGTAAACTCGCACGCGGCAGCAGACGACGAGAAAACAAGCACGAGGGCGAATAACACCGCCTCGAAGAACAGCTGTGCCGCGCCCCTGACATCTATCTCGTTTTATTTGTTTTCAGTGCACTGCAGTCACAAAAAACCATGCAAAGGGGAAACTATACAGTGACAAGTTTACAAGCACAGTTGGAGCCGTAAGGCACACAAGCTGCCATCTAGAAGAACGACCATGCTTTAAAATCACCTCTAAGCACCAAGCAAAATCAGATCGTCCAAACACCGCTCACTTCTTGAAAAGGCCTCCCTGCAGGACTTGTGTCCTCTGTGCTTAGGCAAATCACATTCAGACGCTGTCAACCACAACATGGCCGTAAACAAGACGCCACGCGACGGACTGTCTGTGCCACAACAGAACTTGATGCGACCCGGACGACGCGTGATGGAATTGCGGCAACGCAACATGGCCTCGCAATTGTTACTACCTTGATGTCAGCCAATAATACTGGGTGGATGAGGCTCTACATATTTTTCTCCGACAGCGAGGAGCAGTCGTGCCATGAGCAAAGGGTATACGGGCCTGCAGCTCCGACAGCCCTACGTGTTTGGAATGGCCATACGGCGTACTACTAATACTAAACCCACGACATCATTATGAGGAACTGCGGAAACGTTGACACCCGATATTCTTCGACGTGTACCGACTCGGGCATTTCGCCTCCATCGAACCTTTGGGTGAGCACAGCCGATCGTAAAATATCCCGTTTCTCCATGCATCGATATCGCAAAGGAAGGAAAATAAGCAACAGCTGAAGAAAGACGGCCGCTGCCAAACCACTGGGATTGGCGCTGATGAGGCGTCACAGCGAGCGGCCTTGAGCGTGCCTCGAACTGTATGAGGCAAGACGCAAGTAAATACTTTTTCTTGTTTTTACGGGGAAAAAGAAAGTACCCTGTTCGCATAGCGGTTACACCAGAAAACACTTCCGTCATGTCTATATTCTCCCTGATGTTGAAATGTTTTCCGCTCCAGGTTGGTCAGCTCTCTTTATTGATAAAAAAAAGAGCAGAAATCTTGCAAAAAGACGCGTGCTCACCTTTCCACCTATCGTGTGACGCACGTGGTTTACAAGTTACCACTCATCTTACACCGGCTAGGCGGGGCCGATGCTTTAGTATCATGAGCTCGTGAGCATTTTTTTTTTTACAATACAGGCGCACATTAGCGGATCACTGCAACGAGTGCAAATGTACACTATGTTTCAATCGTACCACCTTTATCGAGCATGCAAAAAGAAAAACAGAAATAACAGAGGCCACCCAGATTTCCCTAGGAAGCGATTGATGCTTCCACTGCGCACGTGGTGCAAGTGCGCACATAACTGACAAAGAACTGCAGTTTTGCTTTGGTCCATTTTTTAGTTGTTAACACGCACGCATCTACATTTATAAAGAAACTGCCTTCGCGTACTTGAATAATTTTTAGTTGGAACTCAGCGCAAGTCTATGGCGTTTATGCAGTGGGTAAACCCAAAAGTCACAAAGGGCGGGAGAGGGGGGACATATTTTCTCATGGTAGCCATGTTGTTTTTAAATATGAAGGATTGATCATTAATTAAACAGCTTAAAAATAAATTTTGTAACGAACGCGCGCAATCAGTGCTGAATATGAAGTTTAACCCAAGAGCTTTAACATACGAAAGAAAGACGAGTAACTTATGAATGCTCGGTTTTCTTAGAACAGCGTTACACACAAACAGCCCTTTTTGGGGATATAGTTTATTGGAGAATGGTTATTGTATTGCGAACACGTCTTTCTTGTTCTAGTGCAGGAGTCGGCAACCTTCTCAGGCCGACACACATGGCCAATCAGGAAGGGGGAGAAGCGGAGAGTTCTTTACAAGGGAATGATTCAGCGGATTTTAATGGACAACAACGTAAAAAAAAAGAAGAAAGCGGGAATAGAAACCATGTTTACCTTCAGCCTGCACGTCACAATATTGCAATTCACATAGATTACAGACGAGGAATGACATGTGAGATAACAGCGAGTGACTAAGGGGTGCTGGGGGTCACATGATACTGGGTCTGGTGCAAATATTAGGAAGTCCAGCTTGAAATGGCTTCACGTGTTTGTTGTCATTCGAGTCAAATGAAACTGGTAGAACATCTTTTTCTCAAAACGCACGAAGTTTGCTTTGCGTACAGCTTCATCCCTGTTAAAAATAGCCTCCCACGATTTACCCCTGGAAACGTCCTCGTAAAGCGAGCTCTTGCTGAACGGTAATCATTTGAAATAGCACGGCCACGACAGTCCAGCAATCGTATTAAGCTAAAACGGATGCTTGGCTCGCAATAAAAAACGCCCCCCCCCCCCCCCCCAAAAAAAAAAAAGACAAAATACGCAGAAAGACTCACATAGGCAACCCTGCATATCTGCGCGTCTTTCTGTGTGAGCTGTCTTCGCGTTGTTTGACCCTTGCTAAATCAGATTAACTCTTCAAGGTCAATGTCGCGATTATTCAAGTATCTGACTGCAGGGCTAGTTGGTTGTGCTTAAGATAACAGAATATTCGACCAAACCATATCGTCATAAGTCACTCACGGTAGATGATCAGTGATTCCTAATTTGCTTTGCATTTGAAAGCAAAGTATAACAAATATATACCCCTGTAGTACCATAGAGAGCCTTTTGCTGCCTCTTGAAACGGAAATCTGATTTCCTTTTTGCAACTTAAGAAAACTTTCCGTTGGGCTAGTTTGCTGTACATGACGCCCTTTCTGGCTTTTGTACTTCGTTTCTAAAACTTGAAGGGCCTCAGATTCCGGAGTTCAAATATGGAGCAATGTTCGAAAAGTAACTCTGAACGGGGGCACTTGCCAAGGGGCTGCCGACTCCATAACAAGGTCCGTGGCTCTGCTACTGCATTTTGTCGTCCTCGTTTATAAGCACTGTTCATATTCAGCATATCCACCCACTTGAAGATCACACTGAATATCCGCGCACAAGTTGTCTTCCGTGGGGAATTTGAGGGATAATTGAACCTGACGTCCACATATAGAGGGTACATTTGTGATCCACACCGCACTGACCAGAATGTACATTCGAGGATATCCGAGATATTATCAAATGACGCGGAGGCTTTTTTTTTTTTCACTTTTCGCAAGGGCACATACTTCCGTTGTAAAGTTCGGTGCTGAAAGATAGCGCGCAAAGAGAAAGAAAAACGACGCGGCGATAAGAAGACATACGAGTGCAGAAATTAAACGTTTAACAACGTGAGCGAAGGAGCCTCCTTCCAAGCGGTCGCACATCCGTCGGTCCGCTGCAACAACGAATGCGTCAGCAGATGCGGGCGTGACCAGAGGGTGCGTGCGTAAAAAAACGGGGGCGATGCCATCTTTGGCTGCGCTCTGCTCGGAATCCCCTCCGCCCAAAGTGGTATTCTCCCACGAACGACGAGGCAGCACCGGCCGCAGACCGTTGAACCGGCCATGCGTGGCCGCCGCCGGCTGCTGCTGGGCGCGCTCGTTTTGTTGCTGCTGCTGCTGCTGCTGATCGCGGCGGCCGCGCTCCTACGCTCGGACAAGGCCTCGGTCCGCGTTGACAACGACGGCGGGGCCGAGCAGCGACGCCGTCAGCGGCGTCTGCGCACCGCCTGCCGCGCCCAGGGAGACTCCGCCACGCTGGAGGACCTTCCGGCGGTCCGGCTCGACCACGTGTTGGTGGACGACCAGCACGGGCTGCTCTACTGCGCCGTGCCTAAGGTGGCCTCGACCAACTGGCGCCGGGTACTGCTAGCGCTCCGCTCGAGCCGCGCCGGCGACCCCGCGCGCATCCCCGCCAACCGGAGCCACGAGCCGAGCGCATTCCGCAGCCTGGCGCACCTGGGACGGCCCCAGCAGCGACGCCGGCTGGCCACACACCTCAAGTTCGTGTTCGCGCGGCACCCGCTCGAGCGGCTGCTCTCCGCCTACCGAAACAAGTTCGAGAGCGCCTGGAGCGACTACTTCCCGCGCCGCTACGGACGCCACATCGTGCGGCAGCAACGCGGCGCCAACGCCTCTCGCCGGGCCCTGGACACCGGGCTGGGCGTCACCTTCGAGGAGTTTCTGCGTTACGTGGCCTCGCTGGAGCCCGGCGACTACGCGGGAGCCTTTAACGAGCACTGGCGCCCGCTGGCCGACCTCTGCTTCCCGTGCCAAGTGCGCTACGACGTGCTCGGCTCGTACGACACCCTGGAGCGTGACTCGCGGCTCGTGCTACGCCGCGCGGGCCTCGAGGGCCGCGTGGCGTTCCCCAGCCGCCGTACAACGTACTCATCCAAGCCGACGGCGTCGCTGATGCAGCGCTACTACGGCAACGTGAGCGAGCACCTGATGGCTCGCCTGCGACACGTCTACCGCCGGGACATGGCGCTGTTCACTTACGAGAGACGATACCCGCACTTCGGCTGAACACACCTCTGTCTGTGGTGGTGGTAGCCTCGTTGCGACAACTCAAGATTTTTCTTTATTCGTGGTGCTGCTGCTCTTTAAAGCATAGAACAACTGCCCCAAAGCAATGTTTTACTGCATTATATTCAGAGTTACATGGTTTACATTCACCATTGTTAGTGCCCATAAGACACATTTCATTCTGCTTGCTAAGTGTTTGCTCACCTCTCGTAAGTATTAACATTAAATATAACATTTTAAACGACTGCATTCTAAAGAAATGGTCGAGTAAAATGGGCGCCTTTTTGTTTCACGACAGTAATCGACATCCGGCTTGCTTGCGCCTCCTTTGTTGAAAGCTCAGCTCTGGCCACTTTCCTATCAAGAATGCCATGTCACGCTCATAACTCATCTCGCCCGTGACCTGAGAGTGGCACGATAATGCAAAGAGCGAAATGCAGGATAGGTGCCGATTATTGTGGAGAAAGACGGCCTTTTTATTCGATAGTCTGTGATGTCTCAAATGGCAGACCAACGTATGAATTTACTTGAAAATGCTGTAAGCCATTGTAGCCGCAAGAGTGTGGATACAGCACGTAACGGAAGTCGGAAAGAATAACAGAAAAAAAATAGAGCAATGAAGACAAGCCAGTTTGTAACGTGTTTGTAACCAACCTGTGTTCTAAGAAAATGCCCGAACAACATTCGCAATTCATAAAAGGCTTTCAACACTGTCCTCAAGATGTTTAGTCTGCTACACAATAGTACAGTGACACCACACATGTCTAGAACTACGCTCTGTCGTCCTCCTAGACGAAAGAGTTTGACCACTATACAGGACCGACATCGGTAGAGTATGTTATCGTTCGGGAAAAGTGACTACGCGTTCACATCCATTTATAATTGGAATATTAATATCAATGTGTGGTGTCTATTCTGGCACACCGTACCTTCTGCATCCGAGTAGGCAGGGAACGAGCCGGACACTTTGTAATGAAGCGGGGTGTACCGCAGGGCTTGGTGCTGGCCCCGATACTCTTCAATCTTGCCCTGCTGCCCTTCGCGTGGAAACTAGCACGCATTCCCAATGCCTGCTTCCTCCTATATGCGGATGATTTGACAGTGTGGACACTACATCCAGACCAACGCCAGGAGAGGAGGCTCTCCAGATTGCTCTGGACAAGGCGTCAGACTGGTGTGCGCGCATAGGACTGACACAATCTGCGACAAAGACCGCGTTCATGTCTATCACCAACAGGCGAGGTCGCCATCGCCTCCTGCAGACGCCAGTTTGTTTGGGCCTAAATGAACACACCCTCACCCCTGTGCCCACAATCCGTGTGCTCGGGGTCGAACTGGACGTATCTGGCTCTGCGAATGCGTGGGTTCGCTCTGCTCGTCGGAAGAGTGCTAATACCCTCCATCTCATTCGTCGCATCTCTCAAAAGACCGGAGGTGGCTGTTCTCGAATGGCCCGTATTTTGGTGCGATCAATCATAGAACCTCGGCTCATTTATCAAGCTCAGATTCAACGACTGACATTGAGAGACTGGGACTTGCTCGAAACCGCCGACCGAGATTCCATGAGGGCGATTACATGCCTTCCTCTTATAACGCCTATCGCGACCCCCCAGGCGGAAGCGCAGCTGAACACCATCGACAAAATTGTACACCAGCGTCGAGTCACTGGCTACCTAAAGAGTCAACCTGTTCTTGCGGCGGCAGCTCTAGTGCACTACTATAATAGTTCAGCGAACTGGGAGCGTGGGGGTAAACACAGACACAAAGCAGAGAGGAGGCACACAGCACGAGCGCTCGTGCTGTGTGCCTCCTCGTTGCTTTGTGTCTGTGTTTACCCCCACGCTCCCAGTTCGCTGAACCATCGTGACTTACCAACTAGCCCACCTTTCCATCCTATTGCAATGCTCACTACTATAATTCAACGCTGTCACAGCCTGACGCACCTTTGGCAGAAGTTTCACCATGGCTCAAGGCACAGGCCAGCGACAACCGACCCACAAGTGGCGCAGGAGGGCGTCGTCAGCATACCGCCGACAAATTGACCATTTGCGGGAAAACCACTGCGCATGAGCAGTAACCGCACAGGTAGCGTTCCTGTACAGGCGTTTTGGTTTTGGTTGGAAAACATCAGCCTGGCGTTCCATCAATATGACCCGTAGTAACGGCGAACACTGCCGTTTTCACGCAAACACCGTACCTCACAGACGGTGCACAAGCCGTCCTCACTGAACCTATAGTTAATCGACAGACATTTCAAGGTTCAACTTCAAGTGAATAACAATGTTCTTCTTAAAAGAGCAGGCGTAATGAGCCTGGCGAACCGTCGAGGTAGCGGAGTGCAGGTATCACCTCACTTGGTTATTTCTCAGGCTGAAACGCGAGAAATTCTTGTTTTACACCGTGTATACAAACGTCAACAGAATGTTTTTCTCCTTTACCTTCTTGTTTCAGTAACGGGCATGCGTTTTTGGTCCTAAAGCAACAAAACAAGCGTTTTGTTTTCCAACCAAAAGCGAAGCTTTCCAGTTTACACGACAGGGGGCGCTCACTTTTCCGCAAATGGTCAATTACTAACGGTATACGTAGACGCAGCTATCCATAACTGCGTTCTGCACACCAGTCTCGTATGCCCCGCGCAAACCGAAACTAAACATATCTGCTCCTACGTAACAAAGGCACCATTCCCATCCGTATTAGCGGAGCTCACTGCGATACGGGACGGGTTGACAGTTATGATATTCAAAATGGATTCTTTGTCACGCCATAAATTGCTTGTATATACGAACTCCACGCAGGCAGTTCGAGAGCTGCGAAAAGTGAACAGCTCCCTCGATATAGCCTCTGATACACACCGACTGATTCACTCGTGTGCATGTCCTGTCCGCGTATTGTGGACCCACCAGTCTACACTGGCTCAATCGGAAGCAGATGCCGCTTGCCATCCAGTGTCTATTCAACACCCGCTGCGTCTACTTCGTTTGTCCCCGAAGGACAGCTTGTTCATGCACAAAGAAACCCTTCGGCGCTCCACGCGTGCACTCATTCCTCCGCCTGGATCTGACCTTCCCGGTGGCTGAACTCGCCGAGAGTAGGTTGCGCTCGGGAGGATTCGTGTGGGCGCCGCCTTGACTACCGCAGTCCGGGCTACATGAAAATCCGGTGCACAGCCTCCCCCAACGACATGCCCATTCTGCGTTGACCCAGCCACAGAGGCAACGCTTGATCACCTATTGGAAACCTGCCCGGGCCTTCACCAGGCTCGCACTCGCCACCTACGCGGGCTTCACCACCACCCCGGCCGACCACCTGACTTGACGCGGTGGACGCACGGTCCACTGCATCGACCACTCCAGGCCTTTATACAGGAAACAGAACTTTTTATTTAACTGATGTCGTAGGGCATACTGGCGCCAAAAAAAAAAATGGCAAATCCCACGTACAGTGGGAATCAGTGATATGCGAATCCCGAATGAAAAATGTTGATATACCACTTTAAAATGAGCACAACGTTACGAGGTGGAGGTAAATGATCTCATACATGACTTCCGTGTCATGATTATCATGTTTGGGTGAGTAGTTTACCTTCGTAATCTATTCACGTCACGTGATAACAAATTTAGTATATGTGGAGCTAGCGAAACGGCCGCGAGCCCGCTATGAGCGTGGTATGTTGTGTTCTTAACTGACACGCGTCAATATTATCATGTGTGCAACAGTCATATATTTATTCATCCATTGACGTCACGCAAGGGCATCATGAAGGGCCCAATATACTCCAATGTAGCATTGGCGCGCGCACGCTGGGCACAGCGACGCTACGTTATCAAAACGCAAGTACTCTATAGTCTGACGCCAGGCGCGACCAGCGTCCGTCGGCGCGGCCCGACGGCAACCGGCGCAAAATGCGATATGCTGCATTTCGCGGCGATGCGTTAAGCGCGAGATGCGAGACAGACGTGCGATTTTCTCTACGATTCGGCGTGCGGTGCGACGATGCGACTGCCGGATTGGTGACGTTTCATGACGTATCATCGCGTCGCACCGCCGCATAGCCGATGCGGCGAGCATCAAACCGGCCAGATATTTTCGTCGCAGCATCGCACCGCCGCGTGGCAGCAGCCAATCACAGCGCGAGCATACGAGTGCCGTCACGATGCTAGTGGCGCTCCCAACAACCGTTGTCCGAGGCTCCAGGCGAGTCGATGGAGCGGTGCGAGCGTGGATTTGCTGACGTCGCCGACTGCGGCGGCGTGACAAACATCGAGTATATTTCCCTAGTGACGCGATATTATTCTGGATTGAATAAAGTGATGCTTGAAATGTGCCTTTTCTGCACAACAACGCCCGTTTTGAAACCGCTCGCGAGATCGGAGATCATGAGCAGCGATGCAAGGTCATTTCGAAGGTAAACACAGCTACAGGCGTCTGTGCGCTGGCTCGCTTCGCTTCCACCTTTGCTCTTCACATCGATGGCATAAAGTAATAATGTATGCTAACGCATTACATACGAGCGCAATGCTTGATAGTGTTGTCAAAAACAAGCGCTCGATGACGAGCTCGTGTGTGAACGGCGTGGGTGATGGCCGGCGCCCGCGATGCTAGGCCTACCTGTCGGAGTCGTGAATAATCAGCTGTTGCCGTGGTTACGACGTGCCTGTCGTTCACGAATGCGATTTATTAATTATTTTTACAGAACCAAGCGTGGCTGTGCAATGTTGTTTGTTTTGAGCCTCATTACGAGGATACCAAGTCGTTTGACCCTGCATGACGAGGCGCCGCATGGGGGCCTGCCGCTGATAGCTCCTTCGCCCTCGGGTGCCCCGAAACGTCGCATGCGGCACGCCGCGCCATGCGACGCCGCACGCCGCATCGCACGAAAAATCGCACGTCTGTCTCGCGCTTTACCCAGACAACACTGCGTCTCCTTTTTTTCATGACAAAAGGACGCCGGACGCGTTGAAACGCGCATGCGTCAAAGGAACGCAAGTGCGGCGCGCGCCTGCGAGTATATGGCACGACCGGGACCTGGCGTGGAAACGCCGGCGTGACGCGACGAAATGTACGCCGGCGAGCACGCGCATCGCGCCATGTCGAAAGGTATTGGCGCCTTGATTGTGGAACGTAGTCGTGTTCTCACATGACACGCATCTCATGATTATCATGCTTGCACCAGTCACGCAAACCTTCGTCAACCACTGGCGTCACGGAATACCAAATTTGGCATATGCGAAGCTAGTGAAACGGCCGCGGGCACATCATCAGTGTGGCATGTAGTCATGTTGTTATATGACACGCATGTCATGATTATCATGTTTGGATGTGTCATCTATCTATGTCGTCCGTGTGCGTCGCGTAATACCGAGTTTGGTACATGTGAAGCTAGCGAAACGGCCGCGAGCGCACCATGGGCGTAGCATGTAGTCATGTTGTTACATGACATGCATCTTATGTTTATTATGGTTGCACCAGTATCATACCTACGTCATCCATTCACTTCCCGTAATACCAAATTTGGTATAAGTGAAGCTAGCGAAACGGCCACCAGCGCATCACGAGCGTGTCATGTAGCCATGCTTTTACATGACACGCATCCCATGATTATCATGTTTGCACAAGTCACATGCCTTCGTCATCCATCCACGTACTGTAATACCAAATTTGGTATGTGTGACGCTTGCGAAACGGTCGCGAGCGCATCATGAGCATGGCATGTAG